ATACAAAGAGAGAGAGAGAGAGAGAGACAGAGAGACAGAGAGAGAAAGAGAGAGAGAGAGAGACGGGGCAAGGGGGTGGAGAGTGTGTGCAATTCATGTGCAAACATTTGTAGGCCAAAATATAAGCTTGGTTGTTTTAAATCTATCCCTTGAACACTGTCTCTACCTTTTCCAGTTCTGGGGAAATGAAGAACAATCTGTCACTAGAGTCAAGTGTAGCTGTACCTTATGCTACCAGATCTCCCTTTGCTTGGTTAAAGTGTGAAGCTGACCTGTAGAATCTCACCCTCTTCTTTGAGATGCCATTGACTCTTTTTCAAAGCCTTGCACAGCATTTGGCAAAGGATAAGGAAGGACTTGCTGAACCTTTGATGTAAGTTTAATACTGGGTAGGCTCTGTGGATGGGAAGTCTGTTCACTGACCATGACTTATGACTTTTTCTTATCAGGTTACTGCCTTGACCTGATCTTTTCTAAACCTAAAGCTCTGTGAGCAGAGATGGTATTTGTCTTTTTCTTTCAAGGCTAAAGAACTGTAACTAAGGGATGATTTTCAAGGCTATACAATCTCTCTCTCTCTCTCTCTCTCTCTCTCTCTCTCTCTCTCTCCCTCTCTCTTCTCTCTCTTTTCCTGACCCCCAAGCTGACTTCCTTGTGTTAGGGTGCTTATACCATGTATTCACCATGGTTATCTGGATGAACAAACAAAAAAGGACAGGGAAAATGTGTCACTGGCTTGGGTGGGACATGAAGATGTTTCTACCCTCTCCCTGGGTTAAAGATGTCACTACTCAGCGCTGAGAGAACATTATTGTCAGGATGTGTACTAAATTTCTTGGTGTCCTGGCTCAGGGCCAAGGTGAAGCCCCCCCCCCCAAAGCGGGACCAAATGGACCAAATGTTTAATCTCTCTAGCTTTTCAAGCACTCCTGGCTAGACAGAGCCAGATAAGAAGTGATGTGATGAAGGATGCCCTTGATCATTTTAGTCGGTGTCTCTAGGAAGAGCCAGTAAGCATGCTGGTCTAAATCTGCTTTCTTTTTAGCTCCTGGCATTCTTGTGGTGCTTATGATGACAATCAGATGGTCTTCAGGTACCTGGTAGAACTCAGCCTCTGCTCTGCCTCCACATTTTATACTTCCAAGCTACTCTTGGAGGGAAGCATTGCAGTCTGGTTGCCAGGGTAACCATCACTGTTCTCAGATGACAACAAGCTTGAGGAAGTCGATGTTTTGCTATTCCGTGATGGCATTGTTATTGAGCAGAACATATTCACTATGGCTTTTTGGCTCTTTCTCAATTCCATTGTTATTCCAAAGATTCATCTGAGGCATCTCCCTGCCAAGTCTGGACAAGGTTTTAATAAGCTATTTCACTGCCCATAAACCTTTTGCTCAGACACCACTGAATTTGGTACCCTGCTTCACTTTCAATCGTAAGAGATTTTGTGGTTGAGGTAATAAGATGCCTGTTTCTGGTGGTGATTAAGCAGAGACCTATGTATGTTTAATGTATTGACAAGGAAATGAATTCTGTGTTGAGGGTTGGCTCAATTAACTTTTTTGAATAACAGTATTCCTATGTTTTCTAGCTGGCCATTTCTACTGATCCTCCTGCCTTGCTTCCTAGGGTATTATAGGCATGGGCCACCACACACAGCTTCACCTCAGATAAGGGCCAATGTTCCTTTCAATTCTAGAATCTGCAATTCGACTTGTCTACTGCAATAGTTAAACAGCAATGCACTCCACATCAGAAGCAATAGCATTTCACCGCCTTGCCAGAGAGGGTTGAAAATTCACACTGTCTCAGATACTGTGTCACTGAGTGGCTGCAGAGACAATGGCTACCCCATCGGGCATTGCTTATCCAAATATATACCCCAGTGACACCTTTTGTGTGTATGTGCTGACCTTCATCTGGAGGAAAGAAACATTCCTGTGATCATTTTCTTCTTCCTGTCTTTTCTTCAAGGCTTTATCTCTGGAGGAATTACAATTCAGCTTACACTCCCCCTCTGCTTTGAAGGAAAAACCTACTCAATCATCCGCACTCACATTAGATAGGTTTCCTGGGTCCAGAGCAGGAACTAACTCTTTCCACAATTCTTCTCACCTTGTGAGAACTCTGGTGGTCAAATGGTTCTTATACAAAAAAAAAAAAAAAAAAAAAAAAAAAAAAGGGGGGGCAAAAAAAAAAAAGTGCACAAAGAAAACCTAACAACCTTGGAAAGAGGAAGCACCAGCCTGGGTATGCATTGTTACATAATAGTTGGTGTCATCAGAATTTATAATGGATAGAGAACTTGTCTACATTGACAGGACTGCCTAATCTTCCACCCTGAAAGTAGACAAAACAGTTCTTATTGCCCGTCTTCCAGATGATGAAGTGGTGATTCATGGTGACATGCCCAATTTTGCAGACTTCATTAGAGACTGAGCTGAGATCCAAACCTGGTTATTTAGAGTCCTAGTCTAGTACGCCACCCTGTTAACTATCCTACTGACATATATGCTTCTAACAGTTCCCTCAGTGACTTGAGAAGCGTAAAAATGCAAGGTTAACTACAGTTCAGTCTAACTGAAAAACTACTTCTGTGGACACTATCAATGTATTGGCTACTATTTTGCCTGGTGAATACAGAGGGCAATTGAATCTCCTTTCCTTCGGGATGTGTTCAAGATGCTACTTTTCTTTCCCAAATGTGAGCAATATGTACACATTTCTGCAGCATCTCTCCTAGGCAAAGACCCTTATGTTCCACACACCTTACTCTGAATAGACACTGCTGAACACTAGAACTTCACAGCTTCCGTCCTTACAGAACATAGAAAAGCCCTCAGGTCTCAGCCAACTTATCAAGAGCCCTTAGATAGATGTCCTCTTGTTATAGCAGGGATTCAGGCTAAGTCCATGACATTTACTAGAAATGTTGAGCTGTGAATGCACACATACACACATATACACACAAGCACACATGCACACATAATACATATCTATTCCTCAAAGACATGGATTAGATATAGATAATAGATAATCCATATCTATTCATGATGGTAAAACCATTGTAAAATGTATTTTCATTTTCTGAACCTGGAATGTCCAGCATAGGCACTGCCAAGTCTGAGTTCAATTTTCCCTGTTCTTCTGTCCTATTGATATCAAACATGCCCTGAAGTTTCTATCAGGGAAGTGAGTATTTGATACCTCTGAGGGTTATAGTCAATATTCAAGTTGCTGCCAGTGAAACCAGGTGTTCCAGATGGCCCCACCATAGCCAGGGCCTTAAGATGGGGGTGGGAAAGGAGAAAGTAGAAGGAAGTGAAGTGGTAGGAAGCCACATGGTCACATCCATCCTGCTGGGCACTTTCTTGAAGGATCTGTGGGACTCCACATGTCCTGATGGAATTTGTTGGTAAGAAAGCATTATGCTCAGTACAGCAAAGAAGGAGTTAATATTATTAAATGCTAAGGAATTAAACAGAAAACAAGTGCCAAAACACAACTTATTTAAACCATTGGAAACACAAATCCCCAACGTTGGAAATTCTCTTTTGCATTCCTGTGCCTGTATCTTCGATGCTAAAGTTTTGGAAACTCACCCATGTCTTTGGCACTCTGACTCCAATTGTAGCCTGCTGGCTAGTCTGCTTTGCGGTTGACTTTGTTCAGCTGCAAAGATGCTGGTCTCTCCAGTCTCCTTCTTCTGTCCTTTACTTTTTCTCTCTGAGTATCTTTGTCCTCTCCTCCTGCAATGAAAAGGGCTCTCTGATTGACAGCCACC